GGGGCGGCTGGCAGCTGGCCGGGGTCGTGGGGCAAAGGCGAGGGTGGTGGGACGCCCAGGGAACTCCAGGGGCCGGCGACGGGTGGGGAACAAGGCCTGAGGGTCGGGCAGTCGAGGGAAGTCAAGGGGGTCTCGAGGACCTAGGGAGAGAGGACCACAGGGTGAGGGTTGGGGTACAGGCGCCATTGCTAAGCCAACACCTGTCCTTGCAAAGTGATGTTACAGCTTCTCTTGAAGAATCCTCAGCTCTCGCGGTGCCTGCTTCCTAGAAAGGCCACAGCCATCAGGAGCTCGGCACTTGGACCGTGAGTCGGTCCCCACAGCTTCCAGTGACTCATTCAACTGGAAGATGGGCTTTTGGGGGGGGTTCGCGACAGAGAATGACCTGACTCCGCCCCGGGGTTTCAGGTGTGTACAAACACCCAGTTTTTTGTGGTTTTTGGAACCAAACCCTGCGTGTTAGGCAACCACTCTACAAAGGAGCTACATCCCCAGCTCAGTTTTTCCCTCTGGGGACAGGGTCTCATGTAGCCAAGGCTAGTCTCAAACTGTGCATGGCCCAGGATGACCTGAGGGCTGCGTTCACCGGTGTGCGCCACCAGCTCATGCCCTCAGTCTCTCAAGAGCAAACACGACCCGGGCAGAGCGCTTCAAATCTGACCACAGCAGCAGTCGGCAGGGCAGTGATGTCCCACCTGCCTTCATATTGGTGGCAATAAGCAGACAGAGGGCAGTGCTACCTATGTTTCCAGTCGCCATCAAGTCACCCATCCCGCCCTTGTGGGCATTACACCACGACCTCCAATATATCCTGCCTCGGGCATCCCAGACCCCACAATGCCCCCAGGGGACACAGTCATTCCTTCCCTGGGCTCCGAGGGAGACAGGCAGTGGCCTGTCATGGGAAGCTTGTACGAGCCTCACTCACCGTGGTTACTGAGCTCCAGAGGCTCTCGCTGCCTCAGCGCCCCATCCGATGGTGTCCGCCTGTGTCCCCGGCTCACGGCATGCGCGGCGGTGACATGGGTGGGCGTGAGCGACTGGCGAGGGTCCTTCTTGAAGCTCTCCAGCTCCACGTCCACAAGAGGGTTGGTGCTGGGTGACGCCGCCGGGGGAGAGGGCGGTGGGGAGGGCACAGCGGGCGCAGCCTCATCGCTGTCGGAGCGCAGCAAGGAGCGCGTAGAGTTACAATCCGACACAGAGGACAGTGACACTAGGGTGGCCGAGGGCGCCAGGCCCAGGCCGGGGGCTGTGTCATCGCGGCGACTCCCAGGGCGCCCGGTTGGGCTTAGACCCCGAGGGAAGCGGCCGGGACGCGGGAAGAAAAGGCCGTCCAGCCAGCGCCGCTGCTCCTCGCCGTCCCCAGCGCGCGCCTCGGCCACGTCGGCACCCAGGCCCACGGCGCCCAGCAGCGTGGCGCAGCCCAGCAGCGCCAGGTCGCAGCGCCTACGAGCTCCGTGTCCTGGCCGGGAGGGGGTCGCAGCCGGCGGCTCCCATGGCGCCTGCGCGCAAGGAGAGGGCTCGGCGGGCAGAGGCACCTTGAGGTAGGACGGGGTGGAGTAGGGGGAAGGGGGCACGCTGTTGCCTTCATCTGCCTCCGTGAACTCTTCTGCAACCAGAGAGGTCCATCACTCGGCAGAACCCGCCCTGCCCCACCTTCCCCCAGAACTGGTGGCAAGGACTTGCCTCAGTGCCCTCCAAAAGCAAGACCCACATTGTCCAGATGCCACCAAGTGTCATCCTCAAAGCTCTCTCCCCAAAGCCCTGCTTCTAAAAATGAGCGCCTACCCCTAAGGCAGAAGCTGCTGGTTCTTCTTCCGGGCGCGGCTCACCTAGGTGGTCAGGATTTCTCCTGTCCCCTTCCCTCCCCCAGAGCACCCACACCCTCTTACCCATCTCATTGAGGCTCGCAAAGCCTGGGGCCATGGGGGTGTGCTTGGGGGACTTGCCCAGGTTGGGGGCGCTCGAGGACCACTGCTTGCTTCCTTCCCCCAGGGTCTTGAGCCTGCAGGGGCACAGGGAGACGGGGGTTCAGGGCGCGCGTTAGGCAGGCACGGGCAGGCGGGCAGCTGTGCGCCCTACCTCTCCTCTCCTCCGGCCCGCTCCTTCTGCAAAGTGGAGCTGGGGCCCCACGTCCTGCCCTTCTTCTTGACCCCGACCAGTTCCTCCTTCTTTGGGGGTCCGCTTCGGCTCCATGTGCCGCCGCCGCCACAGTCCATGGGAGTCACTGCGAGGGGGGGGGAAGTGGTGAGTCATGGCGAGGCCCCTGGCAGCCCAAGGGACCTTTGTGACAGCTACTCCCACTGTAAATCCCTCCCTAACGCTCTGCCATCGGAGCCCCCAACTCGACAAGGCAACTGGATCCTCCTTAGGCTCTCTGTCCCCCAACTCCTGAACGCCTGTGTCCTCGCCCCTACCAAAGCCTTGGGCATCACTCTGGTTTGCACAGCCCTAGCTCTGCAGACTGCTCTGCTCTTTCCTCCATGATGCTCAACTCCCGCTGCTTCTGCTGCCCACGGTGTGGCTCTCTGCTGGAGGAGACCCGAGTCCCACTAGGCTGTGTCCTGACCGTCACATGCCTGCCGTGGCACAAGTGCACCCCCCCCACTCAGACACACAAAGAAATTACCGTGGTAAAAAGACTGAGTTAGACCACCCGGACACAAAGTCAGACTGTCTTACAACACAAACAAAGGCCGAGGATGGGGCTCAGTTAGGAGTGTTTGCCTCTTATACAGGAAGCCCTGGGTTTGCTCCCTAGCACCATATACGCTGGGCATGGGGGCACCCGCCTATAATTCAGAACCGGGGAGGGGGATCATCAGGAGTTCAAGAGTTCAAGACCATCCTTAGCTACACAGTAAGTTCCAGGTCAGCCTGGGCTACTCGAGACCGAGGCAGGCAAACAGAGGACAAGTTTGGCAGTCTGGGATCACATTAGACTGGTTCTGCACTCTCCCCTTGTACTGACGCACTCGGCAGTCCTGCTCCTTCACCTGCACGCTCTACACATTCACCCCTCCAAACATGGACCTAGCAACCCAGCTCCCCACCCCAGCCTATGCCAGGCTTCAAATAGATTTCTCCATCCTCGTAACTGGGGTGGAATCTTATTTTAAGGTGTGTGACTTTTGTTTAGGCTGCATTTGTTTAACTCTGTGAGGCTGTGGTTCTTTGCCTGTCTGAAACACCTGGTGGTCTGATAAAGAACTAGCCAATAGGGAGGCAGGAGCACGGGTGGGTGGAGCTGGCAGGCAGAGTATAAGCAGGAGAAACAAGGAAGGAGAGAGCAGGAGGACAAGGGGAGGCGGACATCAGGACCCAGCCAGCCAGCCAGCCAGCCAGCCAGCCAGCCAGCCAGCCAGCCAGCCAGCCAGCCAGCCACCCAGCCACCCAGGCAGCTACAGAGGAAGAAGTAAGACATGCAGAAGAAAGATAACAGCCCCCAAGGAAAAAGGTACTTGGACCAATTAAGGCTAAGAAAAGCTGGCTAGCAACAAACCAAGCTAAGGTCGGGCATTCCTAACTAAAAAGACTCCATATGTGATTTATTTGGGAGCTGGGTGATGAGCACCCCAAAAAAGCCAAAAGAGGTAACAATCAAATTTGGATGGTTCCCATCCAAGCGTACCCCCAAGTATGTGGTACACAAAGAACAGAAAGGCTGATCCAGCATGAAGTGCAAATTTATCCTCAAGTCAACTTTTAAGGTAAATCCCCTATTTCACATCTTATGCCTATGCAAAACTGGACACAAGCGTATTTATATATTCACAGATTCATACACACACACACACCACCATCAAAGACAAGGGCAAAACTCAGTTGTAGAACACATGCTTTACACACGAGGCCTTGGGCACTGCCGAGCATTAGAAAAAAAAAATCGGGGTCTGGAGAGATGTCAGCACCCACATGACAGCTTAAAGCCATTTGGAACTCCAGTTCCGGGGGATCTGACCCCCTCTTCTGGCTTCTGCAGGAACTGTACGCACATGGTGCAAAGTCACAGACACAGGCAAAACACATAAAAACAGTAACATCTTTTAAAAAAATAATAGTTTTAAAAATCAGATTATTTGAGTCTCCAGGGCTGCATGCTCTGGTCCTGCATACCCCTTTCCACAGAACATTCCTCCCTTCTTGCTCTACCAAGTTGGCCTCTAGGCTGAAGCCATGTCATTCTGGTTCCTAGTCTTGTCTCTGCTGCTCCTTCTGCTGGGGCCTCCGTCGTCCCCCCAAGGGGCAGGCACACTCTTTCCCACTACAGCACTGTCGGGATCCACCTCAGGCCCTCCAGCTGTGTAGCAGCAACCTTTCCGTGACCCCCCCCCTTTTCTGGGCTGAGGATGTCCAGGGTGCTGCTAACTCCTGTTTCTAGGTGTGCAGGCGCGGTTCTGGGAAAGACGGCATGTGAATGAACAGGACAAAGGATCTGTCTTCTCCCACGACGTGGCACTGTCCATTTCCTATGCCTCCAGCTTCAGAATGATGTAAACCCCAGGGTCTGTAACTCTGGCCAAACCCTGTGACGGTATGGTCATATAGTCTGCTGACGCGATCCTAATACACTCCTCTCTATTTTTGGTGCTGGGACAGAATATAAGGCCTCATAATGTGCCAAGTACACGCTCCACCCCTGAGCTATACACACTGCCAGCACCAATGTCTTATCGCCTACTCTTTCTGGAAATGATGATGTTTATTGATGTACTTGTCACCCGTTGCTCCTGAGGAGAGCCAGGAAAGCCAGCAATGTACTGAGGGTTTGCAGACTGGCTGGGAGGGCCCTGGGATACTCACAGCGAATGGCCCTCAACCGGGGGATGATGCTGGGGCTGGCAGGAGGGCTGGCCCCATCGGATCCTTTCCTCTTGTCCAGGGTGGGCGAGGCCTGGACGGTGATCTTGTGTTCAAATCCTGAGAGAAGAAAGAGGCATTCCTGAGTCCGTGGTGTCTAAGCAAGGAGAGACTTCCCCTGTAGTAACAAGGGGCTGACCGCAGGGAACGTAGCCCCGGCCACTGCTCATGCGCTGGGTCTCAGAGGTCCCAGGCCCGCGGGACGCAGGGAACGCAGCCCCGGCCACTGCTCATGCGCTGGGTCTCAGAGGTCCCAGGCCCGCGGGACGCAGGGAACGCAGCCCCGGCCACTGCTCATGCGCTGGGTCTCAGAGGTCCCAGGCCCGTGGGACGCAGGGCAGCTGGACTTCTCTTGGAAATGGAGACTCTTAGGCTCTTCCTGATTGGACACAGTTAGGGAAGTTCAAAAAATCTAACTGTGCTTGACTGAGGATCGAGGCCTGAGAGTCCACCAGGGCAGTAGCTGACTTCTATGTGACCATGGAGCACTTGGGACCACCGAGGAAGCGGAATTTCATATCTACTTGTGCCTAAGTTTAAGGAAGACACCACATTTGGTTGTTGGAGGCACTGAAGCATGCTGGGAACAAAGGAGGCTAGTGAGTCTACTTCCACCAACTTGTAACTTTCATAAAACCTCATTATAAATTAAAGCAATACACAGGTGTCTGCAGTGCCGGGGAATATACGTAAGCCCAGAACCTTTGCATGCTAGGCAAGTACTTAACCGCTGAGCTCATGCCCAGGCCCCCAGGTCGACTTTGGGGTGGGGGTGCTGGGGTGTAGCCCAGGGTTCTGTACCTGTTAGCAAGTTAGGCAAGTGCCAAGAGGCTACCACTGAGCCACGCCCCCAGCCCCTCCCTGAGCCGGTCCCAACCGGCTTCGTTTCTAGATGAGGTTTTGCTGTGTAGCTCAGACTGGACCTGAGCTCTGTCTCTCTTTCCCGGGCGGTCCTCAAATCGACCATCTGCTTCTGCCTCCCCAGTGCTGGGTTTACAGACAGGCACCATCATGTGTGGCCTGGAAACTCAGCACCTAGATCAAGACGTGCTATAAATATAAAACGCACTGGTCTCAATGATTCAGTGTGAAAACAAGACAGGAACATCTTATGGGGCTTCTTTTTGGTATAGCATATATATATATAGAGAGAGAGAGAGAGAGAGAATATATATATACTATATAGATGTATAGAATAAAACAGCTACTGTCCCACAGTTTCTTTTCACTGTTTCAATGTGGCTGCCAGAATGTTAAGCACACGCCTCTGTCTCCACTGGCTGCTGCTGTGGCCCGCCTGGCTCTGTGGTTGCTAACCTCAGTCACGGCAGAGTCTCAACCCTTAACCAGGGTGATCTAGCCTGGCCTTGAGCTCGTGGTGATCCTCCTGCCTCCGTCTCAGGTTGGATGCTGGGATGACAAGTGTGAGCCTCCACATCCCGTCCCCCACCCCCCATCCCCGGCTTTTTGGGTCATATTCTCTGTGTGATGCATTTGCAACAGAAAAAACTTTAAGGTGCTGAATGTAGCTCGGTGAAAAGCAAACTTGCCTAGCACGTGCGATGCCCTGGCTCAGATAACTGTTCAAACAAATCAAGCAACCCTCTGTGGAGACATAGCCCCAGAACGTTCTGGGGGCGCTCAGGGGACCGGGCGGTACCGGAGGGCAGGCTGATGTGGCTGCTGCCTTCCCGCAGCTTGAGCAAGCGGCTGCGCTTGAAGTTGCCCCTGCGTTTGCGGACCCTGGGCTTCTCTTGGCTCAGTTGGCTCATGAGCAGGTGCAGCTCTCGTTCTACGATGTCCATCTCGCGCTCGGCCAGCTCCTGCTCCCGCCGCCGAAGCTGCTCCTCCTGAAAACGCTGCTCCTGCGCTGCTCGCAGCAGCTCCTCTTCTCGGCTGCGCAACTCCTGGAGGGAGGGAGGCGGGCCTAGGGGAGGGGCTTAGCTGCTGGGGCCCCCTAGGGGAGGGGCTTAGCTGCTGGGGCCCGCCCACGGTCCCAGGGTGAGAGCCAGGCAGGGGGCCGAGTTTGACAAAAGTGGTGCTGGCTCGCTCTTCCTTCCTTCCTTCCTTCCTTCCTTCCTTCCTTCCTTCCTTCCTTCCTTCCTTCCTTCCTTCCTTCCTTCCTTCCTTCCTTCCTTCCTTCCTTCCTTCCTCCCTTCCTTCCTTCCTTTCTTCTCTCTCTCTCACTCTCTATCTCTCTCTCTCCTTTCCTTCCTTTTTTTTTTTGAGAGAGTTTCAGGTAGCCTTGGCTGGTCTCCACGTCACTGCAAGGGGATGGGCACCAAGCCTGCTTTACGCTGTGCTGGAACCCAGGGTTTTTAGGGTGCTGGGCAAGCGCTCTACCCCCGAGCTGTGTTTCCTTATCTGCTTTCCAGCTCCCAGCTCTCCAGTTTGCTAAGTAAACGACCTTCGACAAACAAGCATCCACAAAAGAGGGGAGCAGCCGGGCGTTGGTGGCGCACGCCTTTAATCCTTTAATCCCAGCACGCGGGAGGCAGAGGCAGGTGGATCTCTGTGAATTCGAGGCCAGCCTGGTCTACAGAGTGAGTTCCAGGACAGCCTCCAAAACAATACAGAGAAACCCTGTCTTGAAAAGACCAAAAAAAAAAAAAAAAAAAAAAAAAAAAAAGAGGGGAGCAGTGGAAAACTTCAAACAGGCCCCAAGCAGAGAACAGCACACTATGCCCACCATCTCTCTTCAGCCTCACCTCACCTCACAATCTGTTCCTCTCTCTTCAGCCGTCACCTCACCTCACCTCACAATCTGTCCTTCCCTCTTTCATCTGCTCTCAACACTTGCCTATCACACTTAAAGCCAATTCCAGACAGCACGCAGCATCACCTGTACGTACTTCAGGACAGGGGCCTTTTTCTTAGAAGTCCACCAACAGGAAACTGCCTTTTCTTAACATGCAAAAACACCGTGCGTGGGCTCAAAAGGGGTGGGGGGCTTCTGAGTTGCTCAGGGCATCCCGCTCCACCCCACCCTGTCCCTGCCTTCACCTTCTCCTTGGTCCGAAGGTCATCGAACATGTGCTGGATCTCCAGCTTCCAGTCTTCCTGCAGCGAGTGGAAGGACTCCAGCGGCATCTGGAACAGGGCTGACTGTTCGATGACCTCCAGCTGCTTCAGGATGCTGCCAAAATCTGGCCGCCCATGGGGGTCTGGGTCCCAGCATTCTGGGGTGGGAGGGGGAGGGGGCGTGGAAGGAAATGCGGTGAGGGTCAGCATCCGTGCTCAGGGCAAGGCGAGACTTAGCTAAGCTCCCCTTAACATGCCCCGGGAAACAATGGGGAGGAACCCAGAACCCTGGAGGGATCCAGGGTGAGACAGGAACCCCAGTGTCAGATGCCCTTGGGTGTTCACATGGGTCTGAGAACCATGAAAGCCGTGATGGCCCCTGGTTCCAGAGCCTTCTCCCCCATCCCTGGGCCCACTGGAAAGCAAGGGTGGTACAGAGGGGAGAGGTGTGGCCCATGGAAGCCTGTCCCCAAAGCTGAGCCTACCCTCTCACAGGGCCCTGGCTCACCCTCCAGGAGGCGGGCAAAGGGCTCGGGGCACGTGGAGGGGATGGGTAGCGTCAGCTTGTTCATCGCCACACCGTAAGCCACGGCCAAGGCGTCGATTTCTCGGTAGGGGACCTCCCCGGTCAGCAGCTCCCAGAGCAGCACCCCGAAGCTGCGGGCGGGGAGAGGGAGGGTGATGCCGCAGCCCCCCAGTCTTCACCTGAGCGCCAGCCCTCCCTTGCGTCTACTTCCAGCCTAGCTGGTGAGGCCACGGGAGCCCGATCTGACCTCCATAGGTTTGTTCTTCAAAAGGTAGACAGGGCTGTCTCCTGACATTTTCTGTTTTCCGGCCCCTTCTCAAAACTAAAGTGGGACCCCAATGCCTAGTGGGAAAATTCTGCCTATCTATTTATTTTTTTATTTTTTATTTTTTGTTTTTGAGAGACAGGGTTTCTCTGTGGCTTTGGAGCCTGTCCTGGAACTTGCTCTTGTACACCAGCCTGGCCTCGAACTCACAGAGAACCGCCTGCCTCTGCCTCCTGGGCGCTGGGATTAAAAGGGAGCAACAGGGCACCCAGAGCCACATTTTTACTGAAGTCATCATTTATTCATCTGACAACTGTCTCAGTATGGGGGGCGTGGCTCGCATATGAAGGTCAGAGGACATCTTGTAAGAGTTAGGTCTCTCCTACCATGTGGGTCCCAGGGCTCTAATTCAGGCTGTCAACCGTGGCAGCAAACATCTTTACCCACCGGGCAATCTTGCAGGCCCCAGAATCAGATCTTAAGAACTGTTGAGGACTGAGTCTTGGACTAATACAGACTAGGCAAACACTCAGACACTGAGCCGCAGGCCAGCATCTGCCGCAGCAGCAGCAACAGCATCCCCAGCATCCTCATCCTCCTCCTGCTCCTCCTTGTCCTCCTCCTCCTCCTCCTCCTCCTCCAGTGCAACACAGTCTCGCCATAGCCAAGGCTGACCCGGAGCTCACTATACAGCCCACGACGACCCCAAACTTGAAGTCGTCTGCCTCCTGAGCAGCGGAATTACAGATGTATGCCACCAGGCCTAAAAGCACACATCCTTCTTAGCACTCACCTTCGACGGCCCTTGCGCCGTGGCCTCTAGACAGCCAGGCTCTTCCAAACCTCTGGCCTCTGTATACGCTTTCCCTTCCTGTGTTTTAGCTTTGTCCTTCACGTGTGCCAGGAAGCCTCCCCACGGTACTGACCGTCAGCACGAGTCAGGACTACTCCCCACGGATAAAGCGCTCCCCCAGACCAGGCCCGCGCTAGGCAGGCCCAGTCATCCTTACAACAGAGCACCAGGGCAGAGGGCACCGGCACGACTCCGTCTTGCCATCCTCATGGCATGGGGCACTGCCTCCCCCTCCCCCTTTCTGGCTGGAATGTGGATGTGAAGCCTGGAGCTCAAGCAGCCATCCAGGATCATCGAGATTGGTTTGTGGCAGGGAGTAGCATGATGCCCGGCACCCGTGTCCCGGGAACCTCCAGGGGTGTTTTGACTGTTACTCTGGCTGGGGAGCACGGCTGACATCTGGGGGCAGACGGAGCCTGTGAGGCTGGGGCACCACTATCTCCGGGGCTTTCCACAGCTTTGGCAACACACAGGAAGGTGGCGTCACCAACAGCGGCTGTGCTAGCAAGCCAGCGGGACTCCTGTCTGGTTTGGCCCTGCCCCAAACACATTTCTCTGTGACTTGGACAACTTGCAGCCTGACCAGTGACTGGCAGTCCATGGACACACACACCAGGGTGTGGCTTCAAAGAGACCATGTGCTCACAACTGCCCCAATGGCTGGCACTCAGGGCACCTGAGAGTAACACCCAGGTGTCCCTCAGCCACAGGTCCCTTCCTCAGTCCCTTCCGGCTCTGCTGCAGGCCCACACTCTGGAACACTCACCTCAGCACCTCCTCTGTGGTACTCAGATTGCTGAGCTGGCCCCTTGTCCCTGAGAGCTCAGGTGACCACAGTGGTCCTGGGACACGGAGGTGCCTCTCTGTCCGCCCCTACATCTTCACACACAAACACTTTCCCGATCTTTACAATTACTTCATAATCTTCTTGTCTGCTTTTTTTTATTTTCAAAAGACAAGCTCTCACCGTGTAGCCCTGACTGGCCTGGAAC